TCTAATTTTTCGTGTGTTTTAATCATCAGTCATTCTGTATTTAACTGATAGTAATACATTGGTATTATTATAGGGCTGTAGTCTTGGAGGACACGGTACAATGTTGGAGAGCGACTATGACACTACTCCAAACCACTCTGAACTGGAGGAGACTGGGTAAGTAGGATCGTTGTATGTTTACTGGGGACTTGCTTGTGCAAAGTGCTGCTGACTGTAAAGTGAAACAATTTTTGATGTAAATTTAGAGCAGTGCTTCTCAAACTTTGAACTCTGGATCAGTCAACGCAGCCCTTTTTATTAATCTTTAAATATTCAGATGGTAACCCTCACCATTTGTGAGCTATATCTAATAAAGGTTTATTTTTTCCCATCAATCTGTCTTAGGTGACTTAGCTGTGTGGGAAAACATGATTTCTAATCATTGTTATCAATGTCCCTCAAAACAAAAGGAATACAATATGAAGCAGAAAAAAACCCCATCTTGTATGTCTTTCCCAAACCTGCTGAATGACTTGACTAAAAATCAGATCTGGGTCCTTGAGATTGAAAATTTAGAAATACTTTAAAGATAAATACTACTAAAAAAATGTTCAGTCACAAGTAGTGAGTTGTTTTTAAATGACATGGGGCTACTTTTATGGACATAACAATTAAAATGTTCAGATGATCATTAAATTGACCTTGCACCAGGTCAATGTAAATATAAAATCTTCTTCCAAGACTTTGTTCTAATTTCACTTTAAGCTGTACCTTTAGGAGGAATTCAGTGTTTGTATTTTTGCGTTTGTAGCAGTCCGGAAGCAGCTCCTGATTCAGTGGAACCGGGGGTGGAAGGTGAAGAAGATGCCACCCTGCCGTGCACTGAGGATGTTATCTGCAAGACGGAGCAGATCACCAAGAACATCCAGGAACTCCTGAGAGCTGCACAGGAGACCAAGCATGAAAGGTACAGCATTTTGATTTGAAGTATGACGCCATGATTTAAAATGAATTAAACCTGTTGAATGATACATTTCTACCTGACTTTAAGGAGTCAGCTATGTTTTAGATTTGCTCAAGCTGAAGGTTTCTCAGCTTCTTGGTCAGTGCCTTTTAGAAGCCGTACTATGGGATTCGTATGCCACTTGTTTCACAACTAGCTTGTCAACTGATATATGTCGAGTTGTAAGCAAAACACAGTCACATGTTGAAGAAAACCAGACGCATGTTAAAGACCTGGAATTACTGGTTTGGAGTCTGGTCGCCAGTTGGATGTGCCTTAACTGGTTCTGGCTGTTCATGCAGCTGATGGAAAGCAGTCACTCAATTTCATGTTTTTTCTTGTCTGTTGTCTGCAGACTCAATGTCTGCTCTTGTTTTCAATCTAAATCTCTTCTTTTATCTTAGCTGTTTGCTCAGATTTATCTAAAATGTCATGTAGCCGTCTGTGAACCCCTAAATATGTGGGAACTGTTTGATTCCAATAACTCTGATATTACAATAATTATAGATACACAAGTGAACCACTGTTTAGAGATCTTCATTATTCTTTTTCGTCTACACCAACAGGATTTTTAGATAGTGTGTGTGTTTTGTAAAAGATTCGAGGCAGACATTTCAATAAAGGTCAGTAAAATTCATTAGGATCATGTGAGAACTTCTTTTGTGGGTATCGCTGACACAATGCGCTCTTTCACATTTTCACTTCCAGGCAGAGAAATTTTATTTTTGGGTGGTGTTTTCAAAAAAATAGTTTGTTTTCAATTCATCATGTTAACTCATATAAGTACAGTGCAATAGCAAATAGAATCATCCCAAATGTGAAGTTTCTTTGCAGATCTATTAAGAAGAGAATAATTCAACAAAACAAGAACAGAACATCCAAAGGGACCACTTAGATGTAATATTTGGTTGGATATAATATTTCCAGTGTCATGTAATCATGTTCAACATTTTTATAATATATTTGTTCCATCGAGTGCCATCTAACTTCTCTTAACGCCGTATGAGTTGTGTCTTTAACGAGATGCGGCAGCTCATTGAAAATCCTGGCATTGCTGTGCCTTAAAAATAGTGGTTAAAAATAATTTAGTTTCATAACTAAATATTTTACTAAAATGAACATGCTCTTAAATATTCACCCAGTTTTATCTATTGCTTTTGGATGTGTATAAAATAAATTAAAAACTGATTTAGTTATGAAGTTAAAATAAGTTATGAAGTAAACTTCTAAAGTAGTTTTTCCATGTTGTTTTGAGAACTTAATTATTCTAACAACCTCTTAAATTTCAGACAGTGAAAGCTGAAGAAACTCTTAAAATATACAACCTGTTTGTTTCAAGCCTGCATGTACAATGTTTTAGAATTAAATTTATTAATAATACTCATGGTTTAATGATCTGAAAACTTTAATAAGTAAAATGCTGAGCATGAAGTGTTTTATTTATTAATGAAAAAAGGTAGCAGTTGTTATGGTTTTTAAAATCACATTAACAAACATGAGGAAAAAAAATGGCTTTACTTTGAAAACCATGCTAAAAAACACAATTTATTTAAATGTCTATGTACTCAGTAGAGTATTTAGAACTTGTTTATTCAGCATTTTGTCTCTTCCAGCTTTCTGCCCTGTTCTGAGAAGATCCGTTTGGCTGTGACCGAGATGGCTGCCCTCTTTCCCAAGGTATTCGCTTCTTGTACAATCAGCAGATTTGTTGACGGGACTTAAATGCCCCTTTTTGCTTCAAGAGCATTTTTATTCATCTTCTTGCCTTACCCTCTCGACAGAGGCCGTCCTCGGAGACGGTGCGAAATTCTCTGTATCTGCTGACTTTGAGCGCGAGCCGACTCCACGGAGAGTGCCAGAAGGCGGCAGAGCACAATCCCTGCCCATCGGACATCCAGCTGGTCACTCAGCAGGTCATCCAGTGTGCCTATGACATTGCCAAAGCTGCCAAGCAACTTGTTACTGTCACAACCAAAGAAAACAACAACTAACCTAAACCCAAAGACACTTCTCAAGCACTCAGTTTGCAATCCATCTGTTACAGTGCAAGGCTTTCTTTTTTAATCAGTGTTATATTTCTGTTTCCTCAACAGTAATAAGTATAAGCATTCACACACATTTCTTGAGGTGGGAACGTCTTACCAAAGGATTCAGAATCATAAAGTCATCAGAAAATAACTTTTGTCTTTCTGCAGTGCATTTATGAAAAGACACATCCTTACCTCGCAGAGTTAAATCCCTCTAGTTTCCAAAAGTGCAACGTTGTGCACTTAGGGGACTGAACAACAAGCAGTTCTGAAGAGTTTTAGTGTTTTCTCTTTCTCCTCTGTACTGTATTTCACATCTGATGTGGTTCTTGATGTCTGCTTTCTGGCATGGTCTAAAAGATCCAGACCGGCAAGGACCACAACTGATAAACCCTCTCCAGTTTACTCCAGTGACGATGGTTTATTTTTTTTTCTAATAATTGTTGTTTTAGGAAACGGTGGCTGTATTGTAATCTAAAATCTTTGTGATGTTGCTTGCTTAAAGTGTACACTTGTTTAGAAAGCCAACTGTGACGATGACACAAAACGCTTTTGGTGTATTAGACTATGTTTCAGACCAGCACACTTTCATTCCATCCAGGAGATGTATGCTTCTCTCTCTCTCTCTCTCTCTCAGCTGGTTGAAGATCTCTTCTTTAGGTAAAGTATCAGTCGTTATTGGAGTTATAATGTTACAGCCATACTTATAATTCCGTGTGTGTGAGGGAGCAAAGTTGCTCTCAAGAACGGTCTCCACAGTGGGATGTGTGAAAACCACTTTGAATCAATTTTAACAGCATTATGCAAATATGTAAGATGTATGTATCCTTGTAATTCTTTATCAGATTAATCCAAATGCTATTCTATTTAAAAAAATGTATGCCATACCTCTAAACAAATATCAGTGTTTATTTTCATAAGCTTTTGTTTAACACAGCTAACATTCGTCCTGCTGTTTGGGGCGTCACAGCTGGCAGTTAGTTAAAGATAACTTGTGATCTCAGTGTATTTGCTGTGGTGCTGTAATCAAGTGTTTTACACGCTTCCTGTGGTCAAATGCGTTGTGCTACATGGCTTACAGCCCACAATAAAATAACCGTAACCTCTGTGTACCTATTGTAAATCATAGTGAGCCAGATGAGTTTGACCCAATTGTGGAAATGAACTGTTGTTCTTTTCATGTTACTCAGGTTTAATTAGACTTCATAAACATAGAACATGTTCACTATGTTCCCAGGAGACTTTCTGTTCTATGTCAACAATTGCATTTTGAGAAATAATCTTCCGTAATTCATTTTTAAAACTATGGCTTGACGTGTGTTTGACAGAAAATATGTTTTAATCAGTAGAAAATGTTTCAGACTGTACCATTCATTAAGAAAACTGCAAGGATGTCTTCACCTTATTTAAATGAAACCACAAATAGTTTAAATTTGATAAGTGGACCTATTTAAAATCACAGAATATTTTTATGAGATTAAGTCAAAATTTATTTTAACCAGGAATATTAATGCTCTGAATGAAGCTGGACAATGGGATGAAGGGAAAGAGTCATTTGAAATGTTTTACTGAGCCTTTTTTTTTTTTTTTAGTTAAAAGAATTATTCCAAGACAAGGGCCCTTACACTGACGTCACATTTCAAAGTGTGTTAGTTTTGATAATAAATTACGCAATTAAATAAAATCAGTTATCCTAAAATCAGCACTGGAACAAAAAAAAAAACCGAAAGAGGAATTGTATTATTTTGCAGCAAAACCATGTTTTTCTTTCCTTCGTTCTGCAGTTTGAGCCTGTGGTCTTTCCTGGTATTTATTTCCCGCCTCTGCTGTTGAAAACTCGTCTCGCGCACAATAAACTACCACTAACCTCGACCAGCTCGCTGTCTTTATTTCTGCGTGTGTTGCGTTTATCTCGCTCCCCTGCGTTATTTGCCACCTGTTGGAGGAGAAGAAAAGCGGCGGCGGTGATGATGATGATGATGATGATGATGGTGTGGGCTGGAAGCTCTTCCACACCCCTCTGACTAGAACACACTTCCGGGTTTTTCTCCCGTCATCGGCTGTTTTTGTTTTTTCCAGTGGAGAGCTGCGGTCGCCGCTGTCTTAGGACGGAACCATGTCTCTCTTGTTGGACAAGCAGTTCGCAGAACTTCCTGCAGACAAGTCTGTTGACACCAAGACGTTCTTGGACAACGTGTCGACCCTGCCTCCGTTTTTCGGTGAGTAAAGTTCCGCATGAACATCTAAACACTACTCAGCAGGTGACTTTTTTTTTTCTTCCTGTGTACGCCGGGCTGATCGGTTTCCGACAAGTTATCTCGATTACTTCACATTTGACCTTTGTTTCAGTGCGATCGCTTTTCACGAGGATATTTTCATTTTTACGCAACAGGAACTTGCAGTCGTGTCTCGGGAGGAAGTTGGATCTGTAAAGAGAAACTGTTGACCCGCTGCACGGAGCGAACATTGACCCCATTGTGACTTTACTGAAACTCCATTCACTGTTTCTTCTTTCTCCTCCTCCTCCCCCCGGTTCCCCCGCTGAGTGCATCCACTCTGCCCTGTCAGCTGGGCGCATGCGCCATGAAGTCATTCATATTTCATTGCCGCGCTCTCAAATGTCCCGCTTCTCTTGCAGACTGCTTGGGATCAAAAGTGTTTTCGATCATCAAATCCGACATTAACGGGAATATAACGGTGAGACGCAGGCACACACTCACCTTCCCCTTCTATGTATTTTCATACAACTGCAATGCATTTAAATCGCCAGGTGGGGCTTAATGGAGCAGTTACTGTCATGCAAACTTGAACCAAATGTGCTTTTTTCCTCTTCTCCTTAGAAAATTAGAGCAGTTTATGATCAGGATCCTACAAAGTATGTCACCTTGCAGGATATTGTGGAAGCAGAGAGGGAAACCCACAAAGGAGAGTGGCCTAAAGTTGGAGCGACTCTCGCTCTCATGTGGCTCAAGAGGTGAACTACTTTCTTTTCTGTCATGAAGCAAAAGTTTTTATTCCCCTTGAAATTTTCCAAACTTTTGACAGACTTTATTTGGATTTCATAGGAAAGGTTTTTGCTCAGAGAAATCTCAAAAGTGTGGCAGACCTTTGTATACAAGACCCTTCAAGCAACGTAAAATACCGTGAACCAAACTGCTGTTTTGCTGGGAAAACCATTAGTCGTCCCACTCTACAAATCTGGCAAAAGCCGTAAGAATTTGCACTTTTCTCCAGACCACATGGGAGATAAAGCAAACGTTCTACGATGCTATTTCTGGTCAGAATCTGAACGTTTGCACCTGCATGTGAAACATGTATCATAAAACTAATACTGCAGATAAGCATGAAGGTGCCATAACTGCCATAAAAAGTCATCAAGATTCATCATGTTGTGGGGATGCTTTACTTTAACAGGAAAATGGTGCACAGGATGTGTCACCCGGTTAAAGGATCAGGCTACCAGGTGGGATGGAAATCATGTTTGTACATAATTTCCAATTGTTGCATCTGCCGAGCCACACAAATGTTCAGATGCATTGCCTGAAGAGTGGGATGTTTACTTCAACTATGAGATTGAATTTAATATTTATTTTTGATCCAAAGACAAATATATTCCCTTAAATAATGAATATAGTTAGTAAATTAACAACAGACGAGGAAAGATTCTTGGCTGTGTGTGAGAGCCCATTTACTAGTACAAATTTACTTTGATTGCACAACAAACTCAGAGTAATTTCTATCCGACATTTGCAAAGACGTTGCTCTGGAGGCGCAGAGATTAGAAACACACCTTAAATGTGGCAGTGAGGGCTGACTCAAAGGTGATGAAGATGAATGCAGGTCACACTTTTCAGACTTTGGTTTGTAAAACAAACTAAGCATTTATAACACTTGAGCAAAACTTAATGTCAACGTATAACACACTGAAGTCTATGGCTGCAACATGACTAAAGAGTCATGAATACATGCTATACACATTGTCCCTTACATGATGTCGCAATAGACGGGTGTGTTTTCTGCTCCCTCCTGCAGGGGTCTCCGTTTCATACAGGTTTTGTTGCAGAGTTTGGCCGATGGCGACAGAGATGAGAACAACCCTAACCTTATTCGGGTCAATATCACCAAAGCTTATGAGCACGCTCTGAAGAAATACCACGGTTGGATTGTTCAAAAAGTTTTTAATGTAAGTAGAAGGTCAACGTGGAAGAAATCTCTCATTTGAAAACTGCCCAGAAATGTTTTGTTGGTATTATGTTACTCTTGCACAATAATCTCCTGCATCCATAATATCACTCTCTCTGTTGGTTTTAATCTATATGGTCATTTAATCCTGGTTACTTAAATAATTAAGACAAAATGCTGGTTTCTTTAGTGTGTTTAGTAAAGGCTTTTCTTCCGTCATCTAGTTCAAAAGAACAAAGGAACAATATTTCTCAGATCACCTCAATGAGACCAGGACAAGCAAAAACATTTTTCTGCACCTTTTGGTGTGAGCGCTCACTAAATATTGAGGACAGAAGAGAGGTAATGACACGCCTTGCGTGTAAGAGTAGCGGTTCTTGTCAACCGTCTTCAGCAGCTGCGATTGGTGATGCGATTCTCCAAACGGATGACTCAAGTTGGCACCGAACTCCAGAGACGCAATGATAACGACAAGGTGATTCGAAACATTGTTTCACTCGATTAAAAAAAAATCAGATGGCTCCCCAAAAGAAGCTTCATTCAATCGCATACATATTGGCAAAGTGTCATGTATGAACTCAGGGTGGCGTCGTTTAACCAGCAGTGCTTAGAAACGGTACAGTCTAAACCCTGTGGGAGTTTCAGGAGCCCTTAACTATTCCTCCCAGATACAATATTGAAGGTTGACCACAAGTTGTCGTCATTTCAACACAATTGTCTCTCATCGGTATTGTTTTAGGTTAGAAAACTTCTTTTCTTTTTTTGCTTCCTTGCAATATTATGCAGACGATCATGCGACTTTTGAGTTGACGCAGCATTACAGTAACTGGTGGTTTCACTTTCCTCTCGGTGTCTCTGTGCGTCTTTTAGGCGGCGCTAATTGCAGCTCCCTACAGATCAAACTTCCTCAAGGCCCTGTCAAAGGGAGAAGAAGTAAAAGAAGAGGACTGTCTGGCAAACATACGTGTCTTCCTGGTAAATTATACGCCCACTGTAGACGCCATCTACGAGATGTACTCTAACCTCAACGCAGAACTGGACTACACAGTTTGACGTCTGAGGATGAAGCTGGACTTGAGGTTCAGGAGCGACCCACAGCTCCTTCAGGGTGTAACTCAAGTCCAGTTTTCAAAGGTTCTTTAAAAGGGGTGCTTTCCGTCTTTTTTGTTCTATTTATTACTCTGATTATGCCTTACTCAATATATTTAATGTATTTTTCTTCCTTAAATTGGAAGAAAAATGTGGTTAAAAATGCTTTTTTTTTGCAGGATGATTAAACTTAACTTTATATCATCCTATAGTCAGGATGTTGTAACAGTTGGTTTTTGCTGCTTCATTTATGAGATCACTGTGTGCCTTTCATCTTTTTTAACGCCACCAAAGAAATTCATCAAAGAAACATTCCTTTCATCTTTGCAGGTGTAAACTTTGTTTTGGCTGAATCAAGGCTGAACATTTTCATTTTGCTTTTTTTTTGTGTGTCTTTTTTTAACCTTTGATGTTTCACATTTTATACTTTTGTGTGAAACATCCTTCCAGTGAAGATAATGTGAATCTTTTGTGTTGCCTTCATTGTCTTGTGTGACCTGTTTATAATCATCGTGTGTGGCTGAATGAAATCATGTCAGTTGTGCAAGTATTTATAGATCTTTTCTGAATGAATACACTGAAAATAAATTAAACCTTTCTGGTAAATCATTTTTTTCAAAGAGATTGTAGTTTATGCGTCGAACACTAGACGGTGCTGTCCACCTATTTAGTCTTCAAGTTTGTGCTCTTATTTCTGCATGTTGCATTTCAAATTATGCCTCTGTTTCTGAAAGCGTTTAAATATTGTCTCGTTATTTTCTCTCCTTATTTTGATCATAAGTGCAAAAAAAAAAAGAAAAAAAATCAATACACTGAATTCCAATAAGGACAATCTGTATTCCGCATGTAGCCTAATCCTCTTAACAAGCCATGCTTTTCCTCGGCCCACTCTTATTTATCTGAAGTGTGTTGCAGAGGTCGGGGAGGCTCTGGTTCCTCCTCCACAGGAGCCTGAGCTAATCGTCTCTGAGCTAGAGGAACATGTCCGGTTTATCAGCAGCCTTGCACAGCAGAATGGAAAAACTTCCAAGCAAAGCTGCGATACTACAAAATAGGCACTGCAGTCCATTGAATAATGCCCCAGCGACAGTTGCTGACTTTAAACTGAAGATATTTGTCTAAAATGAGGTCATCTGCTGGAGATGGAAGTTTTTGCTGCTAATGCCTCCTTTTATACACTCTATATAATTAGCTTTTTAGGAGGCTACTTAAAGTGTCTTCACGTTTCGTTTCCGTGATGATCTAAGCTGCATCAGTGCTGCAGCATGCTATTTAGGAAGACAGATGAAGTAAAAGGGGGCACATCCAGTCACATTTAATACTGCTAATTCAAAAGAGACTTTAAAGGTCTTTTATTATTATTATTATTGTAAACAGTATTTTTTAAAGTCAAATTATTATTCATGTTGCATGTAGAAATGATGGAAAAAAGCTTATCAGTCGATCCTGCAGGAAAATTACTTAAGATGCATAAATGGGCAAAAAATTAACACCACTTTACAAATAGCTTTTCCCTGACGGAGAATGGATCATTTATAAAAAGCGCATCTCCTTAAAATGTGAAGAACTTGCACCATTAAAACGATGTAAAAAATAAAAAATGCAGTGCATTAAACTCGGGAGTAAAGCTCTGAATCCTTCTGTAAAACATTAAATCTAAATTATCATTTAGTCCATGGTATGCATAAATGTCACAAAGTAATACTTATTGGGTTTTAAAAAATTTATTTACTTGACAATCCTTATTAAGAAGAGACAAAAAAAAATGTTTGATTAGGGTCATACAGTTCAAAAACTTATTTCATCAACATAATTTATGGAGATAACTCATGTGTCTATATATAATAATTGCACTTTATAATTATAAAGACGGTTTGCCACGTAACCCACCAAGTTGACAGAAATAAATAGTCTCAGAGAACCATTGCAGACATATGAAGTGCTGCTCACTCATATATTTCAAACCATTAGAGAGAATATAGCCCTGCGAAGAACAAGACAGTAAATGAGTCAGGCAGCCTACACTCAAAAACAGCTATTCGTTATGAGAAACAGTCACACAATCTTCAAGAGTTAGAGGAGGGGGAAAAAGTTGACTCAACAGATTTACCTTTAAAAATGCTCAAAAAATATCCCCGACGGGTTTATCTCGCTTGGCCTGAATGCAACAGTGTTCATTTGACAGTCAAGATCAACTGAGCTGAGAAGTGAAACAAGTTATGTCAAATAACAAAAAACTGTGTTTATGAGCAACAGCTTTAGAAGTTGCTTCATACTGATAGAGAACACTTTGTTATGACTAGACTTAGCTTGAAGTCAGGACAGAGAAAAAGTTTACCAATGGTCCAACTCTAGCAACAGAGGTAAAAATACACAACCGCATTACTAAGCTCTTGAAGAGGTCCTGCAATTACATCCTTTTTGATTGATACCCCTGATTATTTTTGATCCATTTCCGTTTTGTAAAATGCCAATAACAGCAAATACAAAATGTACAATTGACTGATGAAATCCAAATGCGATCAAGTGCTCAGCTTCAGTGTTAAATCAACAACAGCAGTCAAAAATAAAAGAATCTGTAGCGTAAACCTGCATCGTGACTCCTGATTATTATTTACTCCCGTTTTCCAAGTGTTTAATGCACAGCCTTCTACAAATACATGCACAAACTAAAAAGGCATGTGTATTTCACGAATGTTCGAACTGGCGTGTCCCAGAGCGTCGCCTCATCTGTAGACGGGGAGTTGCATGTGCTGCTGGTGTTCCAGCAGCGGAAGCATCCCCCCCATGGCTTCGTACCCGCGGCCCAGCATGCACTCTTTGATGCAGGGAGGCTGAATCTCACTGATGAGGCACTCCAGAGACTGCAGGCTGCTGCTGAGTGCTGCGGCGTGGCACAGGCTGAAGCTGGGCAGCCCGCAGGAGAGGTTCTGCTCCGTGCTGTAGGCCTGGGTTTGATGATGAAGAGGGTGGTGCTGATTAGGATGATGTGGATGAAGCTGGGGTTGGTTTGGTTGATGGCAGCTTGCTTGGAGATGAGGATGGGCGATCCCGACATGTCTAGGCCTGGATGCACACGTATTTGTTCCCAACACCTGAGAGGAATACCCGTCGCTGCCCGGGTTGTCCCAGAGAGGAGCGAAGTACTGTCCCGCTGTCCGCTCTTTCTGCACGGCGGGTCCCGCGTTTCCGAGGCGCAGCCCGTAAGGCAGCTGGGAGGAGCAGGGCAGAGGGTGGCAAGTTTCAGGAGAGCCCACCCCGGCCTCCGCTGTTCTGCAGCTCTGAGTGTCGTTACTCACGCCGTACATCCTCACCACCTCCTGCTGATAGAGCTGCATTGGAGCTTTGTGTTGCCACACGGCATAGTCACCCCTCTCTAGGTATCCAGTTTTGGCTGTTTCTGAACTCTGTGTCGGCAGCACTGCTCCTGCGAAGGCTCGACTACTCTGCGGCGGTACTCCGAAGACGAAGTCTGATTCTGGATGTGCCACTGCTGCCACGGCCTGCAGCGAGGGGCTGGCCCGAGCCTCTCCCCCCAGCTGCTGGGCCTGGTTGTGGGGAACTCTGCTCATCTGCCTCATCAGGCTTTGAACCTCTGCCAGCTCCGACTGGGAGGCCAGGCTCTGATCTCTGGAGGCCATTCCTGCAGCAGAACAAAGTGCTTCAATGGGTACATCAGGGGGCTTATATGAACGTGTGTTATAGGCTTCATGCCTGTGTCTGACTGTGCAGCTATCATTCAGAGGGTTATTATACGGTGCCACAGAAGCCTGAGAGTTCATGTGTTTAGTCCTCTTGCCCTCAGAGGTTTTCAGAACACCCTTGACCACGGAGGCTTTGACGATTGCCAGCAAGCCCTGGTAGCCTCCTGAGTGTGGGTGATGGTAGGGGCTGTAGCGCTGACCGGTGGTGTCCAAGCCATTCACAGTTTTGTTGAGCTGCTTGTGTTGTGGCACCCGCACATCAGATGGAAAGATTTTGATGGAGAGAGGGTTGTTGGCGGTTTTCTGGGCAAAAGCGTCCAACTCTGCAGGAGATGGGTACTGAGAAATCATGGACCCGGTCTCTGCTGGAAAACAGGCAGATAGGAAAAGGTGATTAGAAGCCAGGCAGCCCAGAAGAGACTTATTCTTTCACTTTTTCATTATTCTGCAGTCTCGAAACTGCCATAGGGGATAACTGCATATATAAAGCGCAGCTACAAACTGAAGAGCCTTTGGCACACTTTAAATTGATCTTAATGATATTAATTTAGACTCAGTATACCACCAATAAGTAGTTTGCCAAAAGATGTTAAAAAAAAAGCAAAGAAAAAAAAAAGAGAAGGATGATGGATTTTCAATCCACATTTTTTTGAATGACTCCATCAACAGTAAAACTGAAAGCACTGCTATGGTTAAAGTGCTCAATGTTCTTGTAAAAGTGAAGGATTAACCCATTTATTCTCAATCTGTGGAACAAGTACAGCAGGCGGTACTAGTGCTGCTTTCAGAGGAGACCTTGGTATCTGCTAAATATGAAGCAAATAAGCTGTAATGTTGAGCCAATAAGCACAAACAGCCGACAGGATCATTTTAGACCCAGCAATTTACGCACACTGATCTCTGCTTCAAACAGATGCTCCTCAGATGGGAGGTGCAACGGAGAATAGCTCAAAACCATGTCCAATAAGTGAACCAAGAACAAGTGCTGGCAGCCATTGCTGTTGTGTTTCATTCACCTCTGAAGTTGGAAGTTGAATCTGGGAACAAGCATCTAACCGAGCTTAACCATATAAGAGCTACAGTACAGTACAAATATATATATATATAATATATATATATATATATATATATATATATATATTATATATATATATATATATATCTCAAACATTTTTAACATTATGTACTGCATGTTGACGTTAAAGAAAAACAGAATTTAGTGTTTCAGTTTGGTCAGACCAAACATGTTCTATAAAGAAAATTAACTCATTTTATGGAGGAGTTAAATTCTGGAACTTTGCAGACATTTATTATATTAAAGGTATTTAAAGAAAAAACAATGTAGCCTACTAAAAAGGAAACGATAATGGAAATTCCTGACAGGGATAAAGTGACTTGAGTTTATGTCTTGAATTTATCCAAAACAATTATTTTGTCTCATAATCAGGGGCTGGCACAGAAATTATTGTAAAAGATTTAAGTTCAAATAGTAGACAGGCTGCTGCAAACTAAAAGAAAAAAAGCAATTGCCAAGAATGTCGCTGATGAAAGCCAATTTGACTTTGTCCTGCCGTCTTTTCTGCACATTTCAAACACTATTATTTGAGCTTATTGTGTGGTGCTGCATAACTTGTGTTGACAAAGAAAAGGTGGGGAAAGCGCTTTATTTTAAATACAATAAATCACCGTGAGGAAATTACTGCCGCCTTTCAGATTGACGCTTTTATGGAATTCTGACAGGGTACAGAAAAGTCTCTGAAATTAACCTAGATCACACAGTGAGCCGGTGGAAATCATAGCATGCAAAGAGAACAAAGCTGTAATCTGCAATAAAGAGAGAGACAGGAAAAAAAAAAAGAAACCAAACACTTCATTTCATTTTCAATAACAAAACCAATTCCAGCT